GACCTAGGCCAGAAGATGGACCTGAATTCCAGACGTCCAGACGCGGCCTCTTCCTCAGCCCAAAGAATGTGCCCATGAGGCAAACCTGCCCAGAACCTTCAACCCGTCTGGAGAGTCACGGCAGAGTTAACCTCCCAAGGGCTGGACCCAGAGAGATCTAAGCAGAGAAGGAGCCAGAAAGCTCTGGGCGAATTCCCCTTCCCTGCTTCCAGGGAGGCTGAGTTTTGAAGACCTCTTGCCATCCCAGTTGTCTCTAATCACCTCCAGGGTTAAGACAAGGCGCATCTGGAACGTTTACTCCGCGAGCAGATGGCCCCCACCCCGCCAAGAAAAGCAGAGACCTCCCCTCGGAGGAGGTGGTCAGAGCGTGGCGAAGGCCAAAGCCCAGTCACTTCCCGGCAGCTGCCAGGAAGAGGGTGCCAGTGTCAGCCCAGCCGGGCAGCCTCTCCTGGCAGCTTCCGGAAGCTTCCCCTACCCTATCGCCTTGCCCGAGTGCCCCTGGATCCTGGATCCGAGGAGGAGGGGCTGGCAGGCCCTCCCTCAAGAGCAGGCAGCCGAGTGGGCGCAGAGAGCCGGGAACACGGGAAACAGATGTGCATGTGGCCCTGACAGGCGAGTGATGACAGACCCTCTCTGCAGGCCTCAGATGTCAGCGCGGAGAAAAGAAAGGCGGCCCAGCGGCAACACCTGTTCCAGGCCGGGAGGCCAGGCTCGGGGGGCTGGGCGGGCAGCCCCTAGCGAGGGCCGGGGTGCGGTTAGGTAAACAGCTGCACGCTCCACTGCCCGGAACGCTCCCCGGACGGAGGGAAGAGTCAAGGGAGGCCGGGCGGCCAACTGGCTCGCGAGGGAAGCAGCTCGATCATGCGGCAAACCCATCCTTGACGGAGGGCCCGGCTGAAATCTGAACACCTGGGCAGTGCTGGGGGAAGCAAAAGACAAAGGGCGCCACTTCTCAGCAGGTGGAGAAACTGGGGGGGGCGGGTAGGCAGCAGGGGCAGCCGGGGGGGGGGTTTCTCGGGGCCTCTGGCCCAGTCAAGCTGACTCCTGCCTCCCAGCTGCTCTGCCGGCTGAAATGCGGGGTGGGCAGGCTCACGCAGGGGCTATCAGGACCACCCTCCCCCCCCCCCCCAGGGCACTGCCACCTTTACAGCTGGAGCCTCCGAGGGGACAGAAAGTCAAGAGCACAGACTCCAAAGCCGGGCTCCTGGGTCCAATGTTGGCCTTGATGTCATGAGCTGAGTGACCTTGGGCAAATTCCTTGACCTCTCTGGACTTGCTTCTTCCTCTATGACAGGGGTTGTTGTGAGGACTCAGTAAACATGAGGACAGGTGAAGCCTGGCACAGCCTGGAACTCGGGAAGCATTCTGTATCTTCATCATTATTACGTCCCCAGATGCCATCTCTGAGCCTGGCCAGCCGTGCCTCCTAGCTCTGAAGGGAGGGACCACCTTTCCCCACCCCCAGCAAGAAAGTGGGGGGGCAGAGGCTGCGACGCTGGAGCCTGTGGGTGCCAGTGAGAGACCCAGCCTGAGTTACAAGTACCTCAGGGAGAAGAAAGGAATGAATGGGACCCGTACCCCTGGTGCCCGCTAGCAGCTCTCACATCACAAACCTTCCAGAGGAACGAGCACCTCCACTTCTCAGGGGCAGCAACTGAGGCTCAGAGAGGGCAAGAGTCTTTCCCAAGGTCACACAGCCAGCTCCCAGCAGAATGAAGATTGAAGCCGGGTCTGTCTTAAGGCCAAGCCAGGGTCTTTCCGTGGCTTCACAGAGCTTCCCGGCGCTGGGGCTCCTCCTCGGGGAAGCACCCCCAAAAAGGGTGGGTGGGCTACAGCCTCCACAGCCCACCCCCGACACAGCCCTACCCAAGCAGCCAGCTCAGAGATATGGTGGCTACAGGGCAGGGTGCTCTCCAGGGGCCAGGAGTCCAGCTGGTGAGAAAAGCCACAGTCTAAAGGGAGGGCACCAGTGACAGACACCCTTCCTCACTTCCTTCTTTCACGTTTACTTTCTTAGCGGTTAAAGGTGATTCCCTTGTAAATGAACCCTTAACAGGAAACAACTGAGGCATCACAGGAGGCGGTACAGACGAGGTTCTGGAACACACTGTCCCAGCTAAATGGCTCCCCACAGCCACCTTCCGATGTCCCTAGCCACTCCCCCCCAAATTCTCAAACCACGCACCGAACGGAGACACGGAATATGGACACGAGAACCAAGGACTCGGAGCTGGCTTCGGGAAAGGAGCATGGGGGCCTCTGCACGTTCCTTGGTGGTGTCACCCGTGTCTTCACCCCTAACAGCCCTGCCAGGAGTCCCTTGGGTTGGTCTGCAGCTCCTGTGACCCTGCGCTCTCATCCCCAAGCCCACCCTGGCACCTGGCCTAGCTTCATCCTGCCCCGCTCACAGCTCTGCAGGAAGTATTCTTTCCGGGCTCTTCGTGCCCCTCCCCCTGACACCACCAGCACCGCAGGGTCTGGAACAGTGCCTGGCTCAGAGGAGGCGCTCCACGAATATCTGTTGAATGAATGGGGGAGGGGGGAGAGGCTGTATTCCCGGCACTCTACTGACCATCAGTCAGGCTCTCCTGGAGGCAGGAGTTGAGGTTTCTCTTTCCCTCTGTTTAAATGGGCCTGAGCCACGCACTGCTGCCCCACCACCCAGAGGCCTGATGGCCTCACCAACCACCTGGGATGCTGCCATGGTCCGGCCCCGAGCGTAGCTCTTCCCAGCCCATTCCAAGGCTTCGTTCACTTTTCATTGCTACCCCGTATCTTCAACTCTAAACCCGACCTCCTTTTTCTGATTTCAAGGCCTCTAGTTCACTCCAACCTTATTTCCCTTCCTCCTGAATCCTCTCCCACCGACAAATCCCGCCCATCTTCCAAGGTTCCACCTCTGCCAGGCGGTCCAACGGCGGAGGACTTTGGGGTTCAAGACCCACCTCAGCGACCTACTGGCTGTGTGACAGTCAACAAGGTCATCTGACTTCTCTGGGCCTCCATTTACTCATCTCTAAGATGGGAATAATAACGCCTCATAGGGACGCGGTAAGGAGCAAAGGAAATAGGTTGCTCTAGAAACGGTGCAGAAGTTAGCGTGACGTTCAGCCCCCCAAACTCATGCTGACCCCCCCTGGGCGGACACCAGCTTGCGTTTTCGTCCACACCTGGCCACCCTCCGCACCCCGCTTCGCAGCTGGACTGGGAGCTGCAGCTTCTCATTTCCTCACGTTCCTATCATTGAGGGCCCCAGTCGGCATCTCATCAACTCCCGATGAGTGAGCACATCAACGTGGGAAAACACCACAGTGTGGACGTTGTGCAGAAGACAATCTGAGAGGCCTCACGGGGGGTGCTTTGATGACCTCACGCCCACCACCGCCAAGCTGAAAATCTGTACCCACCCTGCAGAATCCACCTGCATCCTGGAACAATGTGCCCCAACACGTGGGGAGGACACAAGGGCGCCACTCTATGCCAAGCACCTGACTTGCCGGAAGCATTCAAATGCCCCGATTCATTTAATTCTCATGATGGCCCCTCGAGGCAGGTGATACTTATTTCCACTCCCCAGCTTAAAGAAATGAACTCAGGGAGGCTGAGACGCATCCTCCCTGGCGCTCAGTTAACAACAGAAAGGGCAGGATTGGAACCCGGCTCTGTGCTGCTCAGCCAGGCTCTTCTCCCAGGCCCGGCCCTTCCGGGAACCGTAGGTCAGATTCCCAGCAGCAGACGCGCGGGCTGCGCTGCCGCACACCGCGAACAAGAGGTTTAGCATCCACGGTGCGGGGGTGGCAGGCTTGTCCGTTTAAAACGAGAGGCCCTCCAAAAACAGCTCTAAAGACAAAAGCCCCCAAACCAGACCAAAGCCCCCCAAAGACAGCACTAAGTCCAAAGGGGCCGTTGACATCCAAAGAACCCTGGGCAGAGCGTGAAGGCGTCGGGGCCGGACATCTACTTTATAGACGCAACCACCGTGAGTGAACACGTAACCCAGAACCCCACACGTGTGCACAAGTGTGGATGCCTGGGAGGCAGGATCAGAAGCCTCTCAGGCAGATGCGACACCCACTCCTGGACGGGCGGAGACACCCTTCCCTGTTCACAGGTCCCTCCTCCAGCCCCACGCCAGCGGCTACCACTCCAGGTGTCTGATTAAGACAAGCCAGTGTCACCAGCTTTGGTGGAAACTAGGATTTCTGGCTCCGGTGGCCATGACGGTGATGACAACTCAGAGACGTCTGCTTCCCCAGACCCACCGGGGGCAGGTCCTGCTTCGGCCTTTGCAAAGCCAGATAGAAAATTAACTGTGCCCCGTCTGGCTCCTCCCGGGCAGGCAGCGTGAAGGCAGGCGCCTTATAAACAGGGCGCACGCCAGGCCTCCCACCCTCCGCCTGCACAGCTGACTTGCAGAAAAGAAAGACTCTCTTCCCACCGGGAGAAATGTCTGTTTGGGCCACTGTCCCCTGGGTCCCAAAGCCCCATGTCTGGAAATCCATCTCCAGCTGCTATTGAGCAACCAGAGAGCCTCAAAGGAAAGGTGTGAACTTGGGTGGGAAATTCTGGAAAAGCTAAGCTGAGTGGGAACAAGAGGAGAGAGGAACTTCGGATGTGTTTAAACCGGGTAAGTACGGAGACCTCTCGGTGACCTGCATGGCTGGACTAATTACCAATGTTATCAGGCGGATGACAGACGTGCCCCGAACTTCCTCTGTTTGATAGATTCCGCTGCAAACACACTCAAGTTCAGGCCCATGCCTGCTGTTCCCAGCAGTGCCCTATTCTTCCACAGGACCACTCTCGGCCCCCAGCTCCCCCGACCTGCCACATGCCTCCAGGCCAACGCACCCACCAAGCACTAGCGGGGTGACCCCGGAGGGCACCTCCTGCTGGAACACACCACACAGAATCGGTGCAAACTCCTCCCTGGCAGAAGAGAAAACAACATCTCTTCCTTCCCTGCTGGGACTTCAGAGAATGACACGAGAACTGCTTACCTTCCTCGCAGCTGCCACTGGGGAGCTCCAGCCCATGGGTCCCTGGCGGGTGAGCCCTTGGCCAGCACACACCAGGGTCCCGCACTCTGTGCAGGCGCCGATTATCAGCTGCCGGCCATCGTCCACTAAGAGGCTGTGGCTCGCTCGCAGGGTGTAGAGAAACAAGGGCAGCCGGGCGACCCGCATGGCCTTCAGCCCGAGACACCGCTTCTTCTCCTGCCGGCAGAAGAAGCACACGAACGTCTCCACTTGGTACTGCCGAGACCAGGGGCTGACGGCATGCTGGGTGCCGCGGGCCTCGTGCTGCAGCCACTGGCCCAGCAGGTCGTGGTAGCAAAGCACGCAGGTGGCCACCAGGCCAGTGGAGTCGGCAGGCCTGGCGCGCGGGGCGGGCGGATAGACGGTGAGGAAGGGAAAGAAGGGCTCTTTCTCGCCCAAGCGGCTGGAAGGGTTCACGTTGAGCTGGAACTCCTTCCCAGGGCCCAGCTCAGCCCCGCAGATGTAGCAGATGGACGCCGGGCTGCCCTGGGCCGACGCGGGCGGCTCGGAGAGAGCAGGGTCTGAGGCCGAGAAAGCCTGGTGGTACCTGCCCAGGAAGCCCTGCACGGAGGTGATGAGCTCCTCGTTCTGGCAGGCCCGGTACAGGGCCCAGACGTCCTCCAGGACGCTGAAGCACTTGGGGCAGCTGCGGACCTCACAGCGCTTGTTGGGGCCCTGGGCATTGGGGGGGCAGGGCAGGAGGCTGAGGAAGGGGAAATGCATGGAGCCCCTGGTGTTGCCATTGAGCATCCTGGAGGCTACTGCCCGGGCATCCTGGGTACAGTCCTCCCCGCAGAGGTAGCACGCCTCTGGCAGGGCCCCGGCGGGTGGGCCCTCTTCCCTCTGGAGCCTCCTGCCCTTGGAGGCCATGCCGGGGGCGTGGCTGTTCAGGGGCACCACGTAGAGCCTCTGCAGGACGGGCACATCGGCCAGCTCGAAGCTCTGCCACTGCTGCATGAGGGACGAGAAGCAGCAGGGGCACACCAGGGTGCTGCCGCCCTCGCTGATGGGCTGTGCTCCCGGGGGTGGGCTGTGCAGCCACAGGAAGGGGAAGAAAGGGGCCTGGGCCAGCTTCTCCTGCTTCTGCACGTGGATCTGGTGCTGCGAGGCCGGGGACAGCGCCGACCCGCAGATGTAGCAGCAAAGGCCCTCTGGTGGTGCGGCCCGGCTCTCCAGGGGAGCTCGGGGCACGCGGCCGCCACCGTTTTCTGTGTCTCCGGGGCCACGGGGGCCTGAGGAAGGCTCTTCCTGGTGGCCCTCCTCCTCACTGGTGATGTTGACGTCACTGTCCTCAGACACGCAGCAGCCCCCGCGGGTCTCCCCCAGCGGCCTGCTCTCAGGAGTCTTGGCGGCCCTGCCGGAAGGGGCTCCTCTCATGCTCTCTGCAGGGGCCACCTGGACTGCAGGCCCTTGCCAAGGGTCCTGAATGCCCCTCAGGACGCTGGCCCGGGCCCCCGGGACCCAGTGCCTCCCATGGCCCTTCCGCCGGCGCCGGATGGCCGCCTTGGGCTCCCCGTCCACTCGGAGCTTCGAGGGGACCTCCTCCTTTTCCACGTCCCCCGCTGCGGTGGTCTCTGCGCCCTGTCCGGGAGAAGGGCCCGGCGCCAGCCTCCACTCCGGGCAGCGGCCCCCGCGAGGCCCGGGCCCCGGGGCAGCCCGAGCCGCCGGCGCCCCGTGCTGGTGGGGACTGGCGGCGTCGCGCGCGGCAGGGTCGGGCTCGGAGAGGGGGTCGGTGTCCGACAGCTCCGACAGCTCTGAGTCTCGAGGCTCCTCAGCGGCCGCGCGGGGCCCGGGGCCACCGCCGCTGCCACCGTCGTCGTCGTCTTCGTCGCCGGCCGCAGCGCCCAGCGCGTAGGCGACGTTCCACTCGCGGGGGGCCCCGGCACCCCCGCGGCGTCCGCCCGCACCCGCGTCGCACTGGTGGGGCCGCTTGAGCCAGTACATGCGCTTGTCCACGGGCGTGCGGGCGCGCTCGAAGGCGGCCCACTGCTCGCCCAAGAAGCATCGGCACACGGCGCACACCAGCACGCAGCCGTCGGCCGGGGACAGCTCGCGCGCGCCGGGCGCCGGCTCCTGCTGCTGCAGGAACGGGAAGAAGGGCTGCGCCGGGGCCCCCACGCCCGCCGCCGGCTGCTTCACCTGCAGCTTCAGCTCCTTGCCGCGCCCGATGCCGCCGCCGCAGATGAAGCAGGAGAGAGGCGCGCCGCCGCCGCCGCCGCCGCCGCCCGCCGCCCGCTCGCCCACCGCTGCCATGAGCCGCTGCTTGCGGGAGACCGGCGCCGGCCGCCCGCTCATGGCCGCGCCGCGCCGCCCGCCCGGGGCCCCGC